TTCACTCAGAACATGCCGTGCCTCTCTTATAGAATCGTGGCAGCAGTAAGTCGGAATATTTTTGGATACTAACCTCGAGAGAGAGAGAGCAACTGCCACTTGTAATAGCAAGCGTCATTTGTCTGAGACCTTTCGGGTGATGCAGCACATACAGGATAAAAATACGATTTGTGTTTGATGTGATTTTACGTTAATGATGCGGTTTTGCTGTGAGAGGGAGAGATAGAAATCGATATTATCGATAATGAGATGAAATGCGATTTGCTTGTCGTTTGCGATGGCAGTTTGCAGAACTTAAATTGTCTGCGAAGTGGGAAGAAAAAGATGTGATGCAATTTGCGTGTGATATGTCAATTTACAGGATAACACGTCGTGATAACGTTGTGATGCTAGCGTTGTGATGCTATCGTTGTGATGCTAGCGTTGTCTGCACCTACGATCGATGAAAGAAAACCTTCAGGAAAATCTTATTCTAGTTCTCGTTAAACGCAAAATTTGCGATTAAAAAAAACAAACACGATATCTCCGGGAATATTACGAGCTAAAATGAAAAAGCTGAAACTTGCTAGATATCGCGGTCGCTTACGCTGCTCCGGAAGTAATAGAATTCTAGAGACTCCGAAACATTTTGCAGAAATCCGCGAAAAAACGTGCATCACGTGCAACATGTTGACAAATTTACCTCGTTTATTCCGACTTGCATTTTAATAGATGATGATGATGATGATGATGATAGAAAATTTGCACATTTCTTGCAGCGATTTCACACTGATATACGATAAAAGGGAGGGCTGGAACGGCAGGGCAAGATTCGAGAGTACATTAGCAGTAGAACGGTGTATATAGAAATGTCAATCGGTAGCTTAGGCGTGGTAATGTGTGAACATTCCAGCGAATGGCGGTCGGACCTAAGCCAGATAAACATTTGTGGAAAAAACACATGTGTTCCCATACAGCCGGCGTCAGTTGATAGAGAAAAGAGGAGGAGAGGGGGAGAGGGGAGAGGGCCGGAGAGGCGGAGAGAGGGGGAGAAAAGAGGAGAGAGAGCAGACAGCTCAGATAGAGAGATAGAGTAAAGAGAAAAGAGATTAAGATTGAGAGAGAGAGAGCCAAATAGATAGATAGATAATAGATTAGTATAGATAAAAAGAATAAGATAGATAGATCACTGATATAGATTGTAGATAGATAGAAAGATAGATAGATAGATAGATAGGACCAGATAGATAGATCAGATAGATAGCATAGATAGATAGATAGATAGATAGATAGATAGATAGATAGATAGATAGATAGACAGATAGCCGATAGGATAGTTAGGTTAGATAGATAGACAGATAGCCGATAGGATAGTTAGGATAGATAGATAGATAGATAGATAGATAGATAGATAGATAGATAGATATTGATAGATAGATAGATAGATATGATAGATAGATAGATATAGATATATATATATATAGATAGAGATAGAAGAAAGAAGAGAGAGAGAGAGAGAGTGAGAGGAGAAAGAGAGATAGAGAGAGAGACTTCAAACGTAGGTGGTGAGACAAAAAGCTTGTGTGCCATCAAATCTTATTTTGTGACTTTGTCTGTTATACATGTTTATATCCATGCGGTGTGTGAGTGTGAGTGTGTGTGTGTGTGTGTGTGTGCGCGCGCGTGTGCGTGTGTGTGTGCGCGAGCGCGCGCCTGCGTCCGTGTGTGCGTAAACAATATCACATCATGTGTATGACGTCGGCCATGTTGTTGTTGTGTTGTGACGTCACAGATCGACCGCCAGCGTTCCGACCTCAGCATGCAGCTGGTAGAGATGAACGACCGCCTCGACGAATCTGACACCAGCAACTTCGCCCAGGTGACGCCACCGTCGCTCGACGGTCGGCATGGCAACTGCCATGCCGACCGTTCGGTGCCATGTTTGAGTGCTTCTGAGTAGTTCTATTGTTTGTTATGTAGATTGATGTGCAGCGAAGCGAGCTTCTGATGCTGTACAACAACGCACAGCACGATCTCATATCGATAGAGGATACGCACGAGTCGCAGGTAGGGGGCGTGACGGACGCACGAACTCACACAAACCGGCTCTGGCTGCTGCTGCTGCTGCTGCCGCCGCGCGGTGACGCCACCGTCGAGATGCGTCACTGACGACGCGCTGGCGGCAGCGATCCCGTGATGCACGGCGCGCGAGCGGCAGCTCCAGAGCTGGATCGAGACGGAAGTAGAATCCTGAGAAAAATGGCGGTTCCGCTGACTTCCGGGAACGCGTTTGGCGTGTGGTTGATTGAGTTTTTATTTTTTTGGACGTACAATTTCGTGGTTGAGATTTCACCCCGTATATGTGAATATATAGACAGACTTGCTACCAAACCCTTGCCATTACCTAGCATGCAACACGACATTACTAACTGCGCCCCACGATGCATGATCAATAATTGTTATATCCATATAGATATCCTATGACACACTATATATATATATATACATTTATATATATATATATATAATGTGTTTACGTGATAACAAGAGTATATGATAATAATAATTATTATTTTACTATTGTTATTTACTCACGACGATATCTGTGATTAGATCTATGGTTTTGCTAACTTAAAAAAAAAATTGCATGAGCGAGAAAAGTTAGAGATGAAAGCTTTGCATTTCTATGACGGCATAGAGCGTTAATGTTAGCACTGCAATCAGAACTGCTTCATATATGGCTACTATATCGCTACTGGATACACGGTAACTTGCTTTCGCTATCACCAACAGCACGCGTTGGGCGCCATCTATAGTTTTGCATAAAATAATGTTCTGCCGCGAGATGGCAGCATCGTCTCACATTACGTCATTCGTTAACCCGAGCACTAAAACATGTGACCATGACGTCATCTATATAATCGTCACTTGGCTGTAACGTAAATAATGTTCACATGCAAAATTTATGACTTATTGACATGTCAAGGTAGAGTATAACTTTCGACACCAACTGCTACATGTTTATTACTTAGAGTTATGTTTAGGGTTGGGGTTAGGGTTAGAGTTGTGGTTAGAGTTATGGTTATGGTTAGGGTAAGGGTTGGGTTAGGGTTAGAGTTAAGGTTAGGGTTAGGGTTAGGGTTAGTGGTAGGGTTAGGGTTAGAGTTAAGGTTAGGGTTAGGGTTAGGGTTTGGGTTAGGATCAGGGTTAGAGTTAGTGTTAGAGTCAGGGTTAGGGTTATAGTTCGGGATAAGCTTAAGGGTTGTGTTAAGTTTAGGCTTAGGGTTAGGCCGGGTTAGAGTAGGGTTAGGGTAAAGGAAGTGTTATGATTAGAGTAATGATTAGGATTATGATTAAACTCAGGGTAAGGTTAGGAACCAAGAGATAACGAAATCATTTCGATTTTGTTTTTAATATCAAGTAAACTATAATAAAAGATCGAATATTCAGTGTAGCGGTGTGCAGTCGAAAGCTATATACTACGCGCCATGTTATACTAAGCGCTAACAAGCAGTCATTTGTTCCACAACTTATCCGCCATACTATCTTTACTGCTTCACCTATAATATATATGCTATAATATATAACTTATACATAATATATACGTACAATCGTAACCGACAGTAAATCATTAACTGAGCTAGCCGTAAGGCACACACAGATCTGTCTACCTAACTACTGACATGTTAACAGAAAGGCAACGGTGCGGGGGTAAATCTGTCCCTTATATACACACGGGAAGGGAGGACCCGTTAATAGAAGTGTCATAAATATTTAAGACTGTCATCAGTCTAAAATGTCAGAACTTTATGTCGTACACTTTTTTTTCATATAAAAGTAAATTTGTCGTGCGACATTTGCTGTGACATTTAGATTTGTGACAGTCGTAACTATGTATGAAGTTTCTGATAGCGATTGGACTCATGCCGGAATTCGAAAATTTACTCAACGAAAATTGTCCAAACTCGATGGGAAGTAGTTTCAGGTGCAATATCGCATTGATCCGTCACTCGTTTGTTCGTGCGTTCGTCATTCTCCCTACAGATGCTCATGTCTACAACAACATGTCTACAGTCAAACCTATGTTAGCGGTCACCCTTGTAGAACGGTCACTTTTGTATAACGGCCACTCGTCGGTGAAAGACACTTTTGTGGTTTCCAATGGGTAGTAATTGTACAGAGACCTCTACAGAGAATTGACAGAACAATTGTCCGCCCCTTATAGAACGGTCATTAAAGTACACCCATTGTAGTTTTTCTTCGAGTGGCAGTTTTTACAGAGATGTCATATCCCCCCGTAGAATGGATATATTTCTATAATGGCCACTTTTGGTGATTCCCTGTGACCTCACTGTAAATGACCGCTGTGTACAGGTTTGACTGCGTGTACATGTTCTATCATCATCTCTATTCAGAGTCGAAACTTCTGCTGCTATATGTGGCAGGCGGATGAATAGATCTCTCTATCCATAGATCTATGTTCTATAGATCTATCTATGATGTATATATATATATATATATATATATATATATATCATAGATAGATCTGTCTACCCATAAATCTATCTATGATAGCGATATGATGTATATATATATATATATATATATATATATATATATATATTTATGTTGAGAGAGTGCTGTGCGGATCTTGTGCACTCGGTTGCTATCGTGAATCTTGCTACGCTGCTATCGTGTGTCTGTGGAGGGCTGTACGAGCCTGGATGATGGCAATTAGCGTTAGAGCGTGCGTGTGTTTGTGACGTGTGTTGGGGGCTTTGTCAATGCTCCAGCGAAGCTAGATATTCGGGATTATAGATATTTTGCGGGAACGCAGAAAGCTGTGTCGAATTGACATAGTCGCCTCGCATGATTGACAGGCAGCGCTAGCTAATCGCTGCTGCGATAAGACGTTCTAGAAACAATGCTTAGCCGTGAAGTCCTACGTACACAGTCGACAGGTGGACAAGAAGATGATCAAGACAGCCATCTTGGATATCGTTACTGGATCACCCAGTTTACACGTGTTTAACACGTGCGCCGAAATTGCAACATTGCAAGCACTTCGTTGCTAAGCATTGTTTTTAGATCGTTTTATGGCATCTTGATTGGTCAGAGCTGTCTCCATATCAGGCGAGTAGTTCCAACCATCCCACTCACGTCGCACGATTTGTTATGTCACATCGTGTCGTGTTAATGCCACAGCGTGATATGATACGACACGTGTGACGTAATACGACATTTTATACTGTCCGCGCGTGCCTGTCGTCATGGCAACAGACGCCATTGCGATGCTTCTTCGTGCATATAGTATTGCATCGTTTCCGCTCGCGTGCTACATATAAGGAAGTGGTGACAGGGTGTGTTTTATACGGTGCTACATCGTACAATCTTCACTTGCAGTGTTCGAGTTCTGTGCTTGGCTAGTTACAGTAGTTACTTAATTACATTGGTTAGTTACTTGCTTGATAAGTTAAGCTAGTTTGAATCGAGGTGGCAGTGATGGACTGAATGTATCAAATATAGCTGATCTAATGTTATAGTAAGCTTATGATGATAATGTTAGCTCAATTGTTACTCAGAAGTTGCAAATGTCAGAAGTTCTATTATCCCACTTTAGTTTGTCATCCCCACCTTGAATGACCTTCTTTTACGTAGAGACGTAACTTGATCCATAGATGATTTTATTTTCTTTAATTACATTAATTAGTTTAGTTCGGATTGCATTTCTCCCCCCCCCCCACTGAACCGTGTGTCAGTGTGAGTCGTGTATCTGTGTGCACTCTCCCGTGTGCGTGCTTTCCCCTGCCCGCTACAGACCGACACCCGACTCGTCTGCTGTTTTATCTCACGCTAGAAGCGTTGAAACCATAGCAATGTCACACATGTGATTGCTCGTATTGTGGTGGGTTTCTTCGCGCTTCAACCGTGATAATTCTGTAAAGTATAAGCGTTATGGAAACGTGAGAAATTCGGCTAGATTTCACCACGCTTGAAGCAGCGATCACGTTGAGACAAATACGAAAGAAAAAAAAAACTTAATCTATTGAAAGCAGTAACTGTTCTCGCGGTTGAAGCGGGGAAAACAAACTAGTTCATTTCGGCACGCTTATAGCGCGAGATAAATCACACGAGTCACGGATGAGCGTTGTCTCGCTGTCACGACGGAGGTCGTGACGTCATGACAAAAAATCGTGACGTCACGACGGAAGTCATTCCGGAAGTCGTGGCGGAAGTCACACCGGAAGCTGTGACGGAAGTCACGCCGGAATGGCGTGACGGAAGTCGTCATCCGCTCCTTCCTCCGCGCCACGCCACGCAGGTCGAGATGAACAGGAAGAGAGATGGAGAGCTGGGAAAACTTCGCAAGCTGCTGGAGGATATCCACGTGGAGAACGAGGAATCTTCCTCCAGCCTGCGTAAGAAGCACCAGGACATGATGGTGGAGATGAACGAGCAGATGGAGCAGATGCAGAAGCAGAAGAACAAGTGAGTGCATGGTACTGTGGCCCCTCCCGTAGAAATATACCTCCCCTTAAAACAGTTGTAGAAGCAGAAGAACAAGTGAGTGATTGGTATTGTGACCCCCCGTAGAAATCTGTCTCCCCCTTAAAACAGCTGCAGAAGCAGAAGAACAAGTGAGTGCATGGTATTGTGGCCCCTCGTAGAAATATACCTCCCCTTAAAACAGTTGTGGAAGCAGAAGAATGTACCGACGGCTAGCGCTGCTGAGGCAATAACGAACTTTAAGGGTAGAGCAGGAAGTAGACCTAGAGACAGTCAAAGAATGAAGAAGGAGACGTTAACTCGTCTGTACTTTAACCTTCAATAGCGCCCATTGTGCTCTACTTACCCCGTACAATTTTAGTCTAAGTAGGCTTACTTCAACTCTTTTTGTGTATTTATTTAATATTTAACTGTTCTATTGCTGTGAGACGGCCATGTGGAAGATAGGTCCGCGCCATTTTGTTGTGTCTGTGCCTAACATGTTTTACTGTCGTTAAATAATGTTTTTACTTACTTACTAACCTTGCACCTTGCTGGCACGCAGGCTCGAACGCGAGAAGGCAAAGAGCAACCAGGAACTGTTCGAGTCCCAAGGTACCATCGAGATCTTGGAAAAGGACAGGGTACGTATATCGAACTATAATTGGTCGTCCAGCAAATAACAATCGATGGCAAAAACAACATCGAATTCAATTTCTTTTTATGATGTCGTCGTCATCATCATCATCATCAACATCATAATTAATACTGAAATTATTAACGATATGATGATGGTCATGATGATGATGATGACTATTTTAATTTTTGATCTTATAATTTGATTATTACTATTATCATTATTACTAATATCATCATTACTATCCTTTATAATAATATTTTTATTTGTTGTTCGCGTAGCTGGCTCAAGACAAGGCCTACGAGAAGCTAGCTAGCGATGTAGACAGCTTCCAGTCGCGCATGGACGACATGAACAGGCAGCTCACCGAGTCGAATACTGCGCGAAGCCGTCAACAGATGGAGCTGACCGAGGCTCAGGACAAGGTGCGCGAGATGCAGCGCTCCCACGACATGTTGAACCAGGCCCGCAACGACCTGCAGAGGCAACTGGATGAGGCCACCCGCAACCTGTCCGACGAGTCAAAGGTAGGCGCCGCCGGTCAGGGTAGCCGGGGTGAAGGGGTGAGGATGAACAGGGTATGGGTCAACGAGGGTAGATGTGGGTGATAAGGGACAGGGTAAGTGTCACAGCGGGTTATGGTAAGCTGGGGCCGAAGGTTAGGTTAGGTGAGGGAGGGCGGCGAGTGTAAGGGAATTTACTACCGGGTATGGTTTGGTGGGGGGTAATGAAGTCGAAGGTAGGTGGGGTGAGAAGGAAAAGGAAATGGGCTACAGGTCAAATATTCATTTATCGTGCTTGTCCACACCTGTGCATCTCTACTGCTACATCTACATATCTTCATCTCTTCATCTATGCTTCCGACAGGCTAAGCGTACTGCCGTAGAGCAGCTGCATATCGTGGAGATCGAGCTCGACTCGGTTCGCATCCAGATGGAAGAGGAAGTGCAGACGCGCGTCGAGATCGAACGCAGGATCACGAAGCTCACCGAGGAAGTGCACTCATGGAAGTCCCGCTACGAGTCTGAGGTGACGGCCCGCTCTGACGAGGTAGAGGAGTACAGGTACGTGTATGTGGGAGGGAAGGAGCGAGGAGAGGGGGAAGGGGAGAGGGAGAGGGGAGTGGGGGAGAAGGGTAGAGGAAGAGAGGGGAAGAAAAAGAGAAAGAGAGAGATGTTGACAGAGATAGAGAAAGAGACAGAGAGATGGAGAGAGAGAGAGAAGGAGAGAGAGAGAGAGAGAGAGAGAGAAAGAGAAAGGAAGAGATCGCGAGTGAAAGGAGATAGATAATTAATATCTTCTCACCTAAAAGCCATATCCGTACTTGAATGCGCTATTGTTTCTTCCCCTACAGGCGTAAGATGAAGGCCCCGCAGGCTGACTTTGAGCATCAGATCGAGGCTATGTCGGTACTTAAATGCTCTCTTGTTTTCTCCCTGTACAGGCGTAAGATGCAGGCTCTGCAGGCTGACTTTGAGCACCAGATCGAAGTCATGCAGGCCAAGCTGTCCAGCGTCGAGAAGGTTAAGAACCGCGTGCAGAGCGAACTGCAGATCACCATCACCGAGTTGGACCAGGTGAGAGATACACGTACGCGTGTACACGCACGCACGCACACGTACACGCACGTACACGCACGCACGCACGCACACATACACAAACAACTACACAAACAAGCACGCACACCTACACACGCAGAGGCACACACACACACACACACACACACACATACACACACACACACACACACACACACACACCACACACACACACACACACACACACACACACACACACACACACACACACACACACGCACACACACACCGATTTGGACTGGGCAAGACCCTCACCCACGTTCTCAAGCCTATTATATTTACGCTAGTACGCATCGACGCGCGTGGAAGTCTACGCCGTGAAGAAATGAAGAGAGTGGTCGACAGTCTAAAAAGCAACGAAAAATAAACTGAAATAAAGTCCAATAACGGTATGAATTACCGACGAATTAATTTAGCAGCAATGCAAGTGCGAATAAATCTCTTCTCAATTGTTTTTTAAATCACCAAATATTTATTATATTATATATATATCACTAAATTTTAGATTACGTACGAAACTATCCCATAGAAATTATTTATTGATTTTGTCATTTGCCTAATTAATTAATTTTAATCTCGCTTACGAAAATCACTCGATAAATCGCACAATCAACGAATTTTCTCCTTACTTATCTAATGAATCGGAATCCGACGTCTTCTCATATCGATGTAATTACCTAATTATCTAAATAAATTAACATCTAATAAATCAACGCCCCCTACCGGATTCCTCCCCACATCTCCCGATCGCGCACGCCATCTCTCGGCAATCTCGAGACTTACTCTCTGCTGGTCTCCCTGCGACCTTCAGGCCAACAGCACGATCGTCATCCTGGAGAGCAAGTGCGACTCGCTCGAGATTCAGGTTGGAGACTTGATGCGCAAGAACGAAGAGCTTGCAGCAGAGGCGGAGAACGCGAGGAGGGAGATGCAGAGATGGCAGCAGGACGCCCTTCGCTACAAGGAGCAGGTGACAAAGCTGGAGGATGCCAACAACGCCCTCAAGAACGACAACAAGAAACTCCAGAGTGAGTGTCAAGCTGCCTGTCTTGCTGTCTCTGTTTTGTCTGCTTCTTCTTCTTCTTCTTCTTCTTCTTTTTCGTCTTCTTTATCATCATATTCTTCTTCTTTTTATTCTTCTTCTGCTTCTTCTATTTCTTGTCTGCTTTCTTCTTCTTCTTCTTCTTCTTCTTCTCTTCCTCCTCCTTCTTCTTCTTCTTTACTTGTAATCACCTCTCTATCTCACCTGCAATTACCACTTTCTCTTTCCCTGTCGCAGGTGAGCTTCACGACGCCAGGGAGAAGCTGAGCGCTGCCAACAAGCACGTCCAGGACCTCGAGATGCACATCAGTCGCCTCGAACAAGAGAACAGCGAGCTGAGCGCCGCCCTGCGGGAGGAGGAGAGCCTCCGCAAGCAGGAGGAAGTTAAGGTGAAGAATCTGACGATCGAGATGACGACCATGAGGTCCGACTACGAGAAGAGGATCGCTATCCTCACCGAAGAGCTCGAGGTCGTCCGTAAGGAGAAGCTAGGTCGTACATCTACCTCCTCCTCCTCCTCCCTCCTCCTCCTCCTGCCTCCTTCTCCTCCTCCTCCTTCTCCTCCTCCCCCACCTCCTCCTCACCTTTACCCTCCTCCTCCCTTCCTGCCTGCGTTCCTCGCTCCCACTCCACCACCAACTCTTCTCGTACTGCTCGTCACGCACCCTCCATTCTCCGCCTGCTCCACGCGCCCGACCGAAGTCCTCCCTCCTCCGCCTCCTCCTCCTCCTCCTCTCTACCTCTTTTCTCTCTAAACGAAAAGAGTATCGCTGCCATCACCAAAGAACTGAAGCGAAGAACTGAAGGTCGTGCGGTAAGAGAAGCTTCTAGATACTCTCTCGCTTTCCCTCCCTCTCTCTCTCTTATTCTCTGTCTACATTCTCTCTTCCTCGCGCTCTCTCCCCCCTCTCTCTCTCTCTTTCTTCCACTCATATCTCTCTTCTCCCTCCTTCTCCTTTAACTTCTTCTCCTCTTCTTCTTATTCTCTGCTTCCTCTGTCCGTCTCATTCTCTCTCCCTCGTTGTTATGTCTTTCTCTAACTTTCTCCCACATACAACCAGAAAGAGAGAGTGAACCTTTCTCCCTCTCCTATTTCTCTATCGTTCTTGTTAGGAGCGGAAACTCGGCGAATAGCGAATATCGAATATAAAATTCCAATCCTCTCTAACACGAAAATCTAATTTTCATCGAGAGGAAAACCCGGTTCATGCATGCTGCGACAAAGTCACCAACACAACGCACGTAAGCTTACGTTCACTCAAATATCGCTTTCTCTCCCACGACTCAGCCAACGCTCATCCAACCTACACCGTGACGTCAACGTTTGCGTTTCGTAAATGAAAACCCGCATGAGCATTTTTCGCGGTTAAAGAACATGATCAAAGTTGTGTGAAGAAAATCTAAGAAGATACGCGAGAGTCTTGTGTCGAAGTGGAGAGAGAGTGCTGGAGGGTTAGGGTCGCAGTGAATTACAGCCAGTTGCTTCCAGTTGAGTCGGCTCGAAAGCCCGACATATTAAGCTCCCCTTTACAACTATACACACACAACTCCACTCCACGTACATATACCCGACATCCCCCCGACATAAGCTCCGTTAAGTCTTCTACGTCCGCCTTAGCACGCTTTATATGCCTTTGAGTTCTGTCCGAATTTCTGAATGTCCCCAAGCATCAAGCATACGCGTTTTGTTATTTCTATTTGCAACGAGCTATAATTTTTATATCGAAAGCAAAGTAATAGTAGAATTATAATTTTAAAAAACATGTCTGTTTGCGCCCTCCATCTATATTATCTCTTTCCGCTGCAAGACTGAAATTTAGGATTTGGAACTTGATCATGCGCATGAATAACAAATAAATAAAGGAATAAATAAATAAACAAACAAACGCATAAACAAATTAACAAATTGAACAAATTAACAAATTCACAGCATCCTTCGTCTTACTGTGTTAATTGTTACTCAACCGTAAAGATTAAAAACGTACAGCTTGTACGTTTCCAATCTTTACGGTTGAGTAACAATTAACACGGTTAGAGCTATTAGTCTACCAACCGAATGAACTTATTTAATGAGTTATCGTTTATCCTCTATCCCCGCAGCAAGCAGGCCGAGATGGAGATCCAGAACCTGATCGTGCGCCTCAACGAGGCCGAAGCCAAGCTGAAGAGCGAGGTGGCTCGCCTCAAGAAGAAGTACCAGATGGAGATCTCAGAGCTGGAGATGGCGCTCGAAAGTGCCAACGGCGCACGCGCAGAAGCCGAGAGAAAGGCCAAGGCGTTCGCCGCCCAGCTCAAGGTTAGTGTTTAAGGTCGTTCTAAACATGCGTATTTTTTTATTTCTTCATTGTTTAACCTTCACATAATTACAACGATGACTAACTGAAATGGGATAATGCCACAATTTCTCATTATATTCACCCCTGATACAACTTGCAAGTCAGTGTATGGTTTAATGCAGTAAAGAATAGAGTTTGATAAATGTACGCATCGGTAGAGCTGGGGTTACCCTCATAAGGATTAGTTTTCAAAGTCCAATAGACTATTATTGAAGACAAAGAAGTTGATCGAATAGAAGTTTATCAACTATGCGGATCGCATGAGAAAAAACTTTAACGTTTGCAGCGAGAATGGAAATGTGTAGATGGTCTAACTAACTAAATAATAAAAAACTAATATATATATATATATATAAATATATAAGTTTCATTATTGTTACCGCGACAGCAGGCGTCTATTTTTTGCTTCTGTACTAAACTGGTGGCCATCTTTGTTTTGTAACAAGAACGCATTTTTGTTTCTGTTCGCGACAAGCGTAAATTTTAGTTTGTAGTCCAGGCGTCCATCCACGTTTCTGCGTGTAGCAAGCAAGCATCATTCAGAACTCCTGTCGTATGTAATTGATAATGGCTAATGTAGGCCTATTTGCTCATGAGAATTAGCTGAGAACTTTGCTAATGAGAATGAATCGATTAGACATTTCGCACAAACAAGACAGTAAATGTCGATTGCAACCGAGACAAACAACGTGCTGCGTGCTATTCCGCGATTTTGTTTTTGCACACACGCACTAAGAGCATTACGTAAAAGCGATTTTGTTTTTTTCGTTTTGTTAATCGATGCCTCCGCAATGGCAGTAGTCGTTACAAGGTTTTAGCTGAGAACTTTGCTGTAGACGTTAGCAAATTCTCCGCGGAAAAACCTCCTAAGCCATGTTTGCATGGCCACTTCTATTGGGGTCACCTTGCCATTATAGAACTTTTTCCTGAGGTTATTTTGCAATTAAAACTTTTTACTGCGGCCATTTACTCTATTAAGACCTTTAATAGAGCCATGTTTCTATTGAGGCTTTCTACAGAGGCAATGTTTCCAGTAGGACTTTCTACTAAGGAGAGACATTGAGACTTTCTAGCGAAGCGAAATTTTATTTTGAGATTTTTATCAGAGCCATAAATTCCACTGAGATGTTCTACTTAAGCCATGTTTCAATTAAGAATTTTTCACTGACGCCATATTTCTACACAAACTTCCCCCGATGTTTGTGGGTTTTTGCAAGACTTGCAGTGCCTGTACGATGAGAGCCAGCACCAGCTATTTCTGAAATTTAAATCCACTCAAACTTTCCACTGACGTCATGTTTCTACTGTCCCACTGACGCCATGTTGTTGTCTGTGTTGCAGGACTTGCAGAGCTTGTACGATGAGAGCCAGCACCAGCTGCAGGCTACCATCGACCAGCTGAACGTCACCGCAAGGCGCGCACAGTCGCTGCAGACTGAGCTTGATGACGTCAGGACCAGCTTCGAACATGTAAGTTAATATAACGACAGGTGAGACGTGGTCAGGACGTAGAATAGCAGGTGAAAACTTAGAATGCCAGGTTAAATGATAAATGAGTAGATAAAAACATGGAATACCAGGTTAGAACATAAAATACCAGGTGAGAAATATAGAATACCAGGTGTGAATATAGATTACTGGGTGTGAACACAGAATCCCAGGTCAAAATATAGAATCCCAGGTCAAAATATAGAATCCCAGGTAAAAATATAGAATACGAGGTAAAAATATAGAATACGAGGAAAAAATATAGAATACCAGGTAAAGCAATAGAATACCAGCTGAGAACATCAAATATCATGTGTGAGCATAGAATACTAGGTGTATACATATAATCTATGTACGCATACCAGCTCAGAACAACATAGAATACCAGGTGGAAACAGAGAATTTCATGTTAGTCTCTGATTACGTCATTCGTGACTCGTGACGTGACTCGTGACGTATTTTTCAGGCTGTCCGTGCTAAGAAGACCCTCGAGATTGAACTGCAGGATTCGCACTCGCGCGTCGAGGAGCTGACGTCACAGTTCAACGGAGTGCTAGCCGTCAAGTCCAAGCTCGAGAACGATCTCTCCATCGCCCAGAGCGAGGTGAAAGTCGCGCACGCACGCCCGCACGCACGCACGCACACACGCACACACGCACACGCACGCACACACGCACACGCACGCACACACGCACACGCACACACACGCGCACGCGCGCACACACACGCACGCACGCACACACACACACGCACACGCACACACACGCACGCACGCACACACACACACACACACACACACACACACACACACACACACACAGACGGCATGCAGAACAGCGCACGCACGACACACACACAATATATATTATATATATCACAATATAATAATTATAATAAAATAATAATTGCAATATATTAAACTTACCATAATATTCTCGAACTACCGCCCTCTATATACATACGACTACACTAACGCCCTCTATAACACAGCCTCGACACTAACGCCATCTATATGTCGTCCGCAGGCGACGCGGACGCCCGCGATGCTGCTAAGTCCGCCCAGCGACATCGTCGCGCAGGCCGTTGCCGACGCCCAGCGCGCATCTGAGGAGCTGTAATCGAGACGACAGAAAACCAGAAGCTGGACGCCGTACGCAGGGACGCTCGAGTGGCTGAGGTGAGCAGCGCCATCTAGCGGTGGATATATATATAGAGAGGGGGGAAGAAGAGAGTGAGAAGAGAGAGAGAGAGTGAAACCGGAGAAAAAAGAAAGGACAGGCATGAATATGGGCAGAAATGAGAAGCAAATAAAGAGCGCAGGAATGAGAAAATGAACCAAAAAGACGAATAGTTTGTGGAAAGGACGTGAGAGGGCGAGGGTAAGAAATATTAACGAGAGTAGAGCGTGTGGGGAGGAGGTAAGAGATGACCGAGGGATGGAATAAATGAGAAAGGATAAGACAGGATGATTGTTTATTCAATAACGTAGGATTAATGTCTGACGTGTTATAAAGCTCAAGTTAATACCGCGATATTACGCGAAACATGAATCACGCGATCATGACATGTATTTCCTCTCCTTCCTAGTTCTCCCCCCCCCCTTTCTCCCCCCCCTTCTCCTCTCTCTCTCTATTCTCCCACCCCCTCTCTCTCCCATTCTCTCTCTCTCTCTCTCTCTCTCTCGCCCCTCTCTCCTCTCGCCTCTCTCCCCCCCTTCTCTCTCTCTCCTCTCGCCCTCTCTCACCCTACTCCTCTCTTTCCTCTTCCTCCTCCTCTCTTATTCTATCTATCTATCTCCTTTCTCTCTCTCTCTACCCCTCTCTCTCCCTCTCTCGTCTCCTCTCTCTCCTCTCTCTGCTCTTTCTCTCCCTCTTCTCGTTTTCTTTCTCTCTCTCTCTACCCTCTCTCTCTCTCCTCTCTTCTCTCCCCTCTCTCTCCTCTCTTCTCTTTCTTCTCCCTCTCTCTTTCTACCTCTCTCTCTCGCTCGCGCTCTCCTCTTTTTCTTTCTCTTCTCACGCTCTCTCCTTTTCTACCCTCTCTCTCTCTCCCTCTCTCTCCCTCTCTCTCTCTCTCTCTTTCTTTCTCTCTCTCTCTTTTCTCGCTCTCTCTCTCTCTACTCCTCTCTCTCGCTCGCGCTCTCCTCTTCTATTTCTCTCTTTCTCGCTCTCTCTCTCTCTCTCTTCTCTCTCTCTTCTCTCTCTCTCCTTTCTCTCTCTCTAACCTATCTCTCTCTTTCTCTCCCTCTTTCTCTTTCTCTCTCTCTCTCTCTCTCTCTCTCTCTCCTCTCTCTCTCTCTCTCTACCCCTCTCTCTCTCTTCCTCCCTCTCTCTTTTTCCCTTTCTCCCACTCCCCTCTCTCTATTTTATCACAATACCACACATCACAATGCACGGAGGCGGTACTCCTGTTGATTTGGAGAATCAATGATCCCCACAGATTACGTGTAGAACATCATTGCCACAGTATTAGCTCTGTAATTGCGATAGCTCTGCTGCTGCTGCTGCTGCTGCTGCTGCTGCTGCTGCTGCTGCTGCTGCCGCTGCTGCTGCCGCCGCTGCTCTGCTGCTGCTGCGGCGAGCTGCTGGCGGCTGCTGTGCTGCGCTGCTGCTGCTGTGCTGGCCTGCTGCTGCTGCTGCTGCTGCTGCTGCTGCTGCTGCTGCTGCTGCTGCTGCTGCTGTATAGAGCATGTATACGATAGAAATATCGCGCTCTCTCGCGCCTCGCCATTAATTTCCTATACACATAGCGAATGAGCAGTGATTTCACCACCTAAATCAGCCATGCAATCGAGGAGAAATTGTGATTTATTGATGCGTTGTGTCTGGCCGCGTGCGTCTGTCCGAAACGAACGTTTGATTATTCGTCTGCAATATGTTCGGCATGTGCAGCATGCGCACAATGCGCGCGATAGTAGTCTGCCATGGTCTTCTGTCCATCTCGAGAGAGTGTCGCGATCGGTTAGATTGGCTGGAGTCGTTTACTCGCGTGGCAACGGCGAGATCGGTTAGAGCTGTCTGGCGTTCCCACGCTAATTCTGAACCTCCATTATAATACCATATTAACGAAATGTTACGAAATTACATCTTGTTAGAGTCAAACAAGATGCCTTTCTCATTTTAGTAACGTCTGCGAAAAAAACATCCTCCATAATTTTCATTTGTAAATAACTATATTTTTAGAACGAGCTGCAGAGAAAACGCGTGTGAAAATCGCAGCGTGTTAGTGTGTTTTAGAAGTAACTTTGGGCTGCGTGAAAAACCGTCGCGCAAAATCTGCAGCAATTCACAAAATTTCGCACACTTGCGGATGTTCTCTCATAAGTTTAGCGTCTTAGTTAGCTTCTTGGATACGTGCGAAGACTTAGATCCGCTCTAATTCTAATTCTATTTCTTCCCCCTTATCTATCTCCCACCCTCTGCTCTCTCTCACCCTCTTTTTTCCCCTTTTTCTCTTCTCTCCTCTTTTCTTCTCTCTCTCTCGTCTCACCCGCGACACGCTCTCTTTCGCTTCATCTCTTTCTCACACCTTCTCTCTCTCCGTCTCACTCCTCGCCCTCTCAATCTTCCTACCCCCCTCTAGTCTCCCTCTCTCTTCTGTTCGCCCCCTCTCCTGTCTCCCACACTTTTTTCTCTCTCTCTCTCCTCTCTCTCTTTCTGTCTCCCACTGTATATATAATGTAAGTTATAGTATAATAACTCCCCTCCCCCTTTCTCTCTCTCTCTAGCTCGGAGCCATGGCCGCCCGCCTGCAGGAAGTCGAAGCCAACGCAATGGTCGTCGCCAAGAGGCAGTTGAAGAAACTCGAGGACCGCGTCCGCGACGCCGAGGCCGATCTCGACGAGGAACGCAAGCGCCACATGGCGACGGACAGGCTCGTCAAGAACAGAGACAAGCGCATCAAGGAGCTGAGCATCGAGGTCGAGGAGTACAGCACCAAGGTCGTCGTGCTGCAGGAGACGGTGGAGAAGGTCACGGTGAAGATCACCACGCTGAAGCGCCAGATCGACGAGGCGGTGAGTAGCCGAACTAAAACGGAGGAGGAGATGGCGGATAGTTGCTGTTGTGTAATTATAGTCGTGAGATGTAGTTTTTGTATTGTGTTAATAACGTGATGGGTAGTTGTTGTAGTGGGTTGTCAAGGTGATGGCTGGTAGTTGTAGTGGGTTGTCAAGATGATGGCTGGTAGTTGTAGTGGGTTGTCAAGGTGATGGCTGGTAGTTGTAGTTGGTTGATAACGTGATGGCTGGTAGTTGTAGTGGTGTTGTCAAGGTGATGGCTGGTAGTTGTAGTGGGTTGTCAAGGTAATGGCTGGTAGTTGTAGTGGGTTGTCAAGGTGATGGCTGGTAGTTGTAGTGGGTTGTCAAGGTGATGGCTGGTAGTTGTAGTGGGTTGTCAAGCTGGCGGCTAGTTGTTGTTGTTGGTTGTTAAGGTGATGGCTGGTAGTTGTAGGAGTGTTGTCAAGTTGACTACTAGCTACTACCAGCGCCAGCTCGAGGAGGTCGAATCCCCCCCCCACTCTACCTCTCACTCTTACATACGTACCCCATTAATGTCCCATTCTCTTACACATTACAGGAGCAAATGATCACTCAGTCTATGAACAAGGCCCGCTACTACCAGCGCCAGGTCGAGGAAGCCGAATCCCGGGCTGATTCAGCGGAGAGCCAGGTTTCAATGATGAGGAGCAAGCACCATACCATCATCACCAGCGGTCGCAGGCCCAGTCTCGTCGTCGTAGACCAGCGCAGCTCGCAGCACACCACCCGCCGCGCGCGCGAATATTGAGACGTCGGCGCCCGTCTATAGCTTTCCTCGTACTTCCGTGTAAAATCTCGTTCCACCGCCAGGTGGCGGCGGCGGCGGCGTCCGGCATCCCCGCGGCGTCGATTTGAAGTGCGCGTGCGCGCGCGCGGACGGATGGGTGCCCGGATGTACGACGACGCCGCCATCTAGCGGAGGAGTAACGTACTGCCAACGCTCGGCGTTTTTCTGACTGTGAGCCATGGCGGAAGATAGGCGTATATTATATGAGTAAGAGAGTAGGATATAGAGAGCAGGAAAGAAAGAGAGAGAGGAGCCTAAAAGAGACTCTCTCTCTCTCTGCATGGCTGCAGTCAGGATAAACATGGGGCCCAGATCCGCAAAGAGATTTAAGTGAGAGAAGAACGCCAGAGTGTTCACACACAAAAATTCCGCTGTTCTTCCAAACCCGTGTTTACCGAAATAATATCGAAAATAGCAACCTTTACGCGAATCTTTACGTTTCGTTCGAATCCTTATGGCGTACAATATAATATATACAAAATAGAACTCTTTAAATCATCTTAAAACAGGCGTAGACAGTGGCATGTTGTTGTTAGTTTGTTTTTTGAGTCGAGAGATGACGTCACGCCTCCCAGCATTGTCTCTCCTCACACCTGACACGACTGGCTTCTAAGTAGCACCCCCCCCACACACACACACCCAACAATCACCATCAATATCAGCAGCAGCAGCAGTAGTAATCTCCACGTTGTATTTTATAGAGTCGATGTGCTTTAAGATTTCCAGAATACTTGCGTGTAAATGTCACAGCAGTATATGTATACATTGTTTTTGTGCGACCGTCGGGTCACGTGGTGGTGATTTTTATCGTCTGCCACGAAATCCGATAGTTCTACAGCCTTTCGCTTCGTGTAGCTCGGTGCTAAACATCTAATACTAGTCATAATTATAATTATAATATTCATATTAATTACAGTAACAACACCAACGGCAACAGCATCAATGACGGCAACGATGACGATGATTATATTAATAATAATAACAATATTGATGATAGCAAAATGTTTCTGTTTTATAAACATCTCGACTTTTGGTCTGACTGACGAATCACTACTGTCGTTGTATTTATTTGATTTCGTAGCTTTTTGTTGTTGTTTATCGATGATTTTAATTGACTAACTAGAAACATTTGCATTGTGTGTGCACACACGATTGGTAGCTCGTAACCTCGTTAGTAGCGCCCCACATGCGATTTACACTCGTTTCACCCCCTTCACGATGCGAAACATTCAACTTCCAAGATAGGACCAGTTGCAACCTGGCATTTCACACTCGTATGTTCGCTTCCGTATTTTTCGATACACCACAACCGTTGGCGCAGCGTATATTGCGGAGTGAGATTTAAGGGCCTGTCGATGCACTTGTGTGTATCGTATATGGACCGTATGCGAGCTAAGGGGGAGAGATGCGGTGTGAATCGTTTGTGATGCGTTGGCTTTTTTGTTGATTTTATAATAGAATTAAAGTGGCCACTTATAAAAATCTGAAAAAAAGAACTTTTACTGTTTTGATAAGATTTAAATAATCGTGTTTTCAATGTTGATGAACGAAAATACACGAAACGTTGTACCGAACGCACGGGGTCTGGTCGGATGCTTTTCTAAACACGCA